CTGGCCTCTGCAGGCAGGGACAAATGTCTGTTTGCTTAGAATTGTGATGGGCCGGGGCTTGTGTGGAGAATGTGACTCTTGCTTTCCCAACAATGGGGAGAAGTTGGTCAGAGAAATCGTGGGTCCCGGGTTGTAGGAGGGGATCTGATGTGACCCGGCCTTTCCCAGCTGTCCGTGCCTAGAGGACACTGCTGGGGCCTCACTGTGCCCGGGAGCGGGCACCAGCTGCAGCCTGGCAGGGTTCAAGGGGCTTGAGGTCGCCCTAGGAGAGAGAAGTGCCTGGTGCTTCCGCTCGTGGCGGGGGACTCCGTCATCCCCTGCCATGCTTGTGGCCTGGCCAAGGAAGCCAGTGCTAAGGGGCATGGGGGTCTGCAGAGCAGCCTGTGGGTGCTCTGGTTAACAGGAGAGCAGAGTCTGCGGGAGAAATGGGTTCCTTGAATGGGAGACACCAGCGGGTGTCTGCTGATGCCAGCGACACGGGGGTCAGGGGCAGAGAGGGCACACAGGGCATGCAGGGGTGTAGAGCAGAGTGAGCAGGATGGTCCTGAGCTTTGCCACCGTGACAGCAGTTCCCGGGTTCTGGCTGAGGGGTGTCCTGGCCCGCCACTGAGCAAAGCATGTTGGAGAATTGCACTGAGCACAAATTACGGCGGAAATTCACCCTCCGGGAATTTTGTTCTTGCTGAGTGGGGAAGCTCACCCTGCTGCCACCTGTTGACAAACTTGGGAGGTACAACCAGTCTCACTGATCAGTGACCCGCGCCCTCCGGGCCCTTCACAGCTAGGAGACTTGGGTCTCCTTGCCAGCACTGCAGGGGGAAACACAGCTCCTGCCCCACTTTTTTGGGGGTGGCACCCCTGATAGTGCTCATGCGTCATTCCTGGTGGCGTTTGGGGTAACTGTAGGCCCTGCTGGGGATCAGACCCATCTCGTGCAAGGCACGCCCCTGTACCTGTCCTATCTCTCAGGCCCCCAGATCTCACACTCTATGTGGGGTGACTACCTCCCCTCCAACAACAGCATGTGGAAGGAAGAGGTGCACCCATTGGAAGAGGGGTCCTTGAACTCCCCCACCCTCCATGATTCCCTTATAACTTCCTGCTGTACCTATGCCTGAACTAACTAACCCCTGTATTTAACACCCTGTACCATGGTCCTTTTCTATTCTCTCCTCATTTTTAGGATTTTTTTTTTGTTTTGTTTTGCTTGGGAGCCACATTTGACTCAAGTATCTTTTTTTTTTTTTTGCACTTTTTGGGTCACACCTAGTAATGCTCAGGGGTTACTCCTGGCTCTGCACTCAGGAATTGCTACTGGCGGTGCTTCGGGGATATAGGATGCCAGGGATTAAACCCAGGACAGCCGCGTGCAAGGCAAACACCCTACCTCTGTACTATCGCTCCAACCCCTGAGGTCTTACTCTTGATGGTGCATTCAGGGATTATTCCTGGTGGTGCCTGGTGGACCAGATGGGCTGCCTGCAAGGCCAGACCCCCTACCGGTACTATCGTTCCGGTCCCTCTCATTTTCATCACCACTTCCTCCTTCTCCACAGTTCTTCACTCTTCATTGTCCATATCCTCCTGAATCCCGAAAATTCTCCCCACACTCTTTCTGGCCATTCTCTCAGCTGCAGAATGGCCTCTACTGCCTTAAAAACAACTCCCACATCTTGCATGTGTTGTAAATGCCCGAGAACCTAGGCATTCGGGAATTGTCCCTGTTAACTTTTTTTTTTCTTTCTGAGTCACACCCGGCGATGCTCAGGGGTTCTGCACTCAGGAGTTACTCCTGGCGGTGCTCGGGGGACCATATGGGATGCTGGGGATTGAACCTGGGTCGGCCACGTGCAAGGCAAACGCCCTACCCGCTGTTCTATTGTTCCAGTTCCTTAACTTCTTTTTTTTAATATGTTTTTTTTAATTGAATAACCATGAGATAGTTACAAAACTTTCATGTTTGAGTGTCAGTGATTGAACAAGTTCCGGTTGCACAGGCACAGTTACCTTCCAGTCTCAGACCTTTCCGCTGGATTCACTTCCAGTGTATAGGCTTTTTCTCTACCGACCATGGTTCTTTCATCAGTTTTGAGGGTGGGAGAACAGAAGGGCCATACCAGGAGGCCTCTAAGCCACCAGAATGAGGTTCCCAGGGAGGGTCTGGAGAGGATTTTTCCAGTTTACCTTCTTGTCCCTTGCATTTCCTTGCATTTCCTTGCATTTCCCGCCCGTTCCTCCAGAGGGCCCCAGAGTTCAGGAGAGTTGGAAAGGGAGCCCGGATTTGGTCCTTTCCGGCTAAGGCAGCCAGGCGATTGAAATTTCATTTGTTGGCCTATCTGCTATTGTTGTTGTTGTTGTTATTTTATTACCACTGCCACTACTATTACTACTGTTACAATTAGTAGTTTAAGGACTCATTATTCTTTCCTGCTGCCTTTTTCTTCCCCCACTCCTTCATTTTTCTACCTTTTCTCAAAGGATAAAGAATGCTGCTGTTGGCTTGTGAGTAGTGATATCACAGCTGGTCTGTGTCTAAGAAATCGAAGGTGTAGAGGAAAGCTGAAATCCTTAGCACACTGACCAGTAAAACTGCTTTGCACCTTTAATCTGTGGCTGTTCATCATTGCATAAATTTTGTACAGACTTAAAAATTTTTTTTTCTTTTTGGGTCACACCCGGCGATGCACAGGGGTTACTCCTGGCTCTGCACTCAAGAAATTACTCCTGGCAGTGCACAGGGGACCATATGGGATGCTGGGAATAGAACCCAAATCGGCTGTGTGCAAGGCAAAAGCCCTTCTCTCTGTGCTACATTAATTTTAATGTAGCCAAAGGCTACACTTGTTGATATCATTCTAGAGTTGAGATTGATTAGATAAAGGTCCAATATGAAAACCTCTTAAGTATAAAATTTGATTTTTGTGTGACAGTTGTTATACCTCATCATAGGGTTGTGAGTCTCTGGGTCTTGGCCGTTGATGGGATTACACGGTGCCAGGGGGCCAGTTGGAATGTCACGCATTTGCGGCCGCGCGACATCTTATTATCTCATTTTTACTTTGGACAAACTGGCAGGCTACCAAATGTAACCTGCCCACACGGCAGAGTCTGGCAAACTCCCCGTGGCGTAACCAGTATGCCAAATACCAGTAACAATGTGGGTCTCATTCTCCTAACCCTGAAAGAGCCTTGAATCTCTGGGCTAGGATGAAGATGTTACTGGGGCCTGCTCGAGGCAATCGACGAACAACAGGATGGTCATGATCGTCGTGATCATGAGGGTTGTGAAGCTCTGATCTGAGGATCAGTCTCCTCCCCCCGTGCCTGACTGTCCTCGCCGCCAGGGCCCCTTGGAGGGGAGCGGGTTGAGCTTTCCTCCCTGCCCCGACCAGGGCTCCGGCAGCCAAAGACCTCCAGGACCAGCCACCACCATGCTGAGATCACTCTCCGCACACATGAAGGTACTGGCAGAGGGATAAAGTCACGCGGGTTCCGGGGCCGAGATCTCCAAGCCTACTCGGATTTGGGCCGAGCATCCTCCACCCAGATCCTCCAAATTCCAGTAGGCGGGGGTCACACCCACCAGCTGGCCCCTTGGCGCCGTGTAATCCCATCAATGGCCAAGACTCAGAGACTATAAAAACCAGCTCCCGGAACCGCACGGCTGCATCGCGACATCCTATTATGACATCTTATTATCTCATTTCTACTTTGAACAAACTGGCAGGCTACTGAATATAGCCTGCCCACACGGCAGAGTCTCCCCATGGTGTACCTAATATGCCAAATACCAGTAACAATGATGGGTCTCATTCTCCTAAAGAGCCTTGGGCTAGGATGAAGGCAATCGACGATTAACAGGATGATTTGTGATTTGTGATTTTGTGATTGTGATCTGAGGATATAGTAAGCTGTTTGTTGCTAGTTGAGCTTACAGTGCTGTTGGTTTTGTTTATTGACTTTAGTTGGCTTCTGTGTTACTTTGCCATCTCAGTTGCTGTGAGTCTGCTGGGATTTCAGTATGAGGAATTAGGGACTTCAGGATCTATGGTCGGGGCCAATGAATTGAGTCAGCTATGCGAGGGAGGTGGGCATGGGTGCTGGGGCTTCCGGAAGTGTGGGGGTAGGAGGGTAGGGCAGGGAGACTGCCCACCCTTATTCCAAGAAGACCTCCGAGATCTCAGCCTGGGCGCTGGGATACCTGAAATATTCAGCTTGATATCTCTGCAGAGAATATTCCTGAAGCTGGGGAGTTGAGCCCGTGGCTACTCAGGCTACTGCTGTAGTATAGGGCACTTGCCTTGCCACATGGCTATGCTGGGTCAATCCCAATCAACCCGTAGCATCCCCTGAGCACTGCGGGGTGTGGCCCCCATTTGCTACCCCTGCTACCAAAAAAAGATGGGAGGGCTTTTGGTGAAACTGATATTCAGAGACAAATCCCCAGCTCTTAGGGTGGGGTTAGAGGGTCAAACATTTCTTGCGGTGTTTCCGGAGTCAAACCTGGGCCTTCTGAGGCTGGTGCGATTGCACAACAGGTAGGGCGTTTCCCTTGCACGCAGCCAATCCGGGTTTCATTCCCAGCATCCCATGTGATCCCCTGAGTACCTCCAGGAATAATTCCTGAGTGCATGAGCCAGGAGTAACCCACTGGGTATGACCCAAAAAGCAAAAACAAACAAAAAACCCTGGGCCTTCTGCAGGCAAGGTCTTTCTCAGCTTATTGAATCCCCTCCCCAGCCTTAGAAATTCCTGATGTTAGTGAATAGGGTGCTTGCCTTGCATGCACTGACCCGGGTTTGATCCCCATGTGGTCCTCCGAGCCCACCAGGAGTGATCCCTGAGTGCAGAGCCAAGAGTAAACACTGAACATCACCAGGTGTGGCCCAAAACCAAACAAAAATTTCACCTGGTGTCGATGTACATTTGGTTTTCCTGTCAGAGAACATTGATCTTGTTGTGTCTGACTGTTTTTATTTCTGTTTTTGCTTCGCATTTAGGTTTTCCGAGGACATTAGTTCAGGCTGAAACCCTGGACAAGATCTGTGACGTGGACCTAGTGGTCACCCTGAACATCCCGTTTGAAACGCTCAAAGATCGACTCAGCCGGCGCTGGGTCCACCCTTCTAGCGGACGGGTCTATAATCTGGACTTTAATCCACCTCATGTGCACGTAAGCATGAACCAGGGCATCTTCCACTTGTCAAGGCAGAGGCGAAAGCATTTCCATTGGAAAGGGGGTGAAGGATGTTCAGTGATGGTTCAGGAAAGAAAGAAATGCCAGAAACTTCTCCCTCCCTCGTTAGGAGTTAGGCATGCACATGAGGTTGGGTTGCTTCTGGTGCTGGTGGGGAAAAGCAGGGGAAGCTTGAACGCTGAGCTGCACTAGAAAGTTCTAGAAAGTCCGCCTGCAGTTAAGTGCTGCTTCCAGAGTAGAATGAAATAGTGTGAGGGCCAGAGGGGATAGCTCATCGGGCTGGAGCAGAGGCTTTGCATGAGGGCTGCCTGGGTTCCTCTGCCAACACCTGATGGTCCACCCTGCCGTGATCCCCACCCAGCACTGCTGGTAGTGATCCCAGAGCACTGGGGCAGGAGGAGTCTGCATATCACTGGGTGTGCCCCCCCCCCCAAAAAAAAGAAAGAGAATGAAAATGCTTGTCATGGCCCAACCCCATGCCTAAGGTCTCGAGAGAAGAGGGATGGTGTGACTCTCTGGCACATTTCTGATTTTTTTTTTTTTTTTATGGAAGCAGTGGTGTAACAACGGATGCTCTGAGGTTTTGAAAAGGACCTTTTTTTGTTTGTTGCTTGGTTCTTATTTGTTTGTGTGGTTGGTTGGGTTTCTTGTTTTGTGTGGTTCATTGGGTTTTGTTTGATTTTAGTATTGGGTTTCTTTTGGGGTTTTTTTGTTTGTTTGTTTGGGTTTTTTTTTTTTTTTGTTTGGCTGTTTGGCTTTTGGGTCACACCCAGTGATGCACAGGGGTTACTCCTGGCAGTGCACTCAGGAATTACTCCTGGCGGTGTTCGAGGGACCATATGGGATGCTGGGAATTAAACAAGGGTCAGCTGCGTGCAAGGCAAACGCCCCACCCGCTATGCTATCACTCCAACCCCTGGTTTGGGTTTTTGGAGACTATTTGGGGTGCTGTGCATCAGTTAAGGTAGGCAGCAGGCAAGACAAATGCCCTCCCAACTAGACTCAGGCTTCTGAGCTCTCCAGCTGTGAGTCAAGTGAGGGAGAGGGAGAAGCGAGTAGTGGGAGAGACAGACGCTTTCCCTTCCCACGCTCCCATTGGGACATACACTCAAGAATTAGGCGTTCACCAGGAAACCCTGAGTCTGTGCCCAGAGCCCCGGGCTGCGCTGGGACGTGGCTGCGTGGCACATGACCAGCCAGTTCAGCGGGTGCCCAACTTACCTGCTCACTTTGCAGCTGTATGAAGGGTTTGTCTTATGTGACTGTCTGCCCTGGAGGCAAAATTCTATGCAGATGGGAAGATCAAGGTGTCCTTTCCACTGGTGTCATACTTTGGAGCTTTTTGTGTTTTTAATTGTGGTCACTCCCAGGGGTGCTCTGGCCCAGGGGGACAGGCTTGATAGTTTGTTGCTCTGGCAGACTGGGGGGTAGGGGGTTATGTACTGTGGGGAGCAAACTCGGGACCTTGCATCTGCTAGGCATGTGGTCTACACTGAACTATTTCCCTCCCACCAGATCAGGGTTATTATTGATTTATGATTTTTCCGCCATATCTGGCAGTGTTAGGGGCTATTCCTAATTATGCTCAAGGGTCATTTTGTTTTGGTGCTTGAGGGACTAATCAATGTTGGGGGGGGGGTGTCAAACGCAGGGCGTCTTGCATGCAAAATGTCTGCTCTAGTACTTAGAGACATATCTGGCCCATACCTAGTCGTGTTCAGGGCTTACTCCTGGCTTTTCACTCTTAGATCAAACCCACGTCTGCCATGTGCAAGGCAAGTGTCTACCCACTATGGTGTCTTTCTGGCTCCCCAATCAGAATATTTTTAAACTGTGGTGTTTGGGGCTGGAGCAATAGCATAGCGGGTAGGGTGTTTGCCTTGCATGCAACCAACCTGGGTTCGATTCCTTCGCCCCTCTCAGAGAGCCCAGCCAGTAACCAAGAGTATCCTGCCTGCGTGGCAGAGCTTGGCAAGCTCCCCATGGAGTATTCGATATGCCAAAACAGTAACAAGTCTCACAAAGATGTTACTGGTGCCCGCTCAAGCAAATCAATGAACAACGGGAGGACAGTGCTATAGTGCTGTGGTGTTTTAATTATTGGATGTTTTGTTCATGATTGTCACAGGTATGATGCTTGCTTGTTTTAATCTGTTTTTTTTTTTTTTTTTTGAATCCCCCCTCTTTTTTTAAGTCATTACTCTGGATTTAGCGAAATAATTTGTGTCAGATTCATTTCTGGAGACTTCCAGGATCTGCTGAAAAGTTAGGACCGAAACTCTCCCAAATTGCTCTTTTTCTCAAGTTGCCCTATTGATTCTTTGAACCCTTTGATTCTTTTTCCACATCAAGAACTCAGACTTTAGGATGCAGGCCGTGTTAGAAGTATTTATAGGATCAGAATGGCCTGGGCTGAATGAAGGTGGCACAGTAGGGGACGACTCCTGAATTTTTTAAACCGTGACTTGAAAGTATCATTCCTCAACAGTCCCACAGCATGGCTGGAAAGATTCTTTTTTTCCTTTTTGGGTCACACCCAGCCATGCTCAGGGATTACTCCTGGCTCTGCACTTAGGAATGACTCCTGGCGGTGTTTGGGGATCATATGGCATGCCAGGGATTGAACCCGGGTTGGCCGCATGCAAGGCAAACGCCCTACCTGCAGGACTATCACTCTGGCACCCATGACTGAAAAGATTTGGGGCAGTCATCAAGATCAAGCTTGGAGGCCAGAGAGATTGGACAGAAGTAGGGCATTTGCCATGCACGCGGCCGACTTGGGTTCAATCCCCAGTACCCCTTATGGTTCCCTGAGCATTGCCAGGTGTGATCCTAAAATGATGATCATGTTAATGATGGTGGTGGTAAAGCTCTCATGAAGTGTCAGGGATGAGGGACATGGTTTGGTGAGCTGAGTGCAGGCTTTGCATGCGGGAGGCCCTGGTTTAAACCCTGGCACTGTGTAATCCCAGAGCCAGGAGAATCCTCTGAGCATAAAGCCATACTAGCACCTTAGCCCCCCAGACATGGTCAAAAGAAAATAGAATCTGGGCCCTGTGCTATCGTGACTTCTTTTTCAGCTGCCTTCCCCGTCACCACTGTGATTCAGGCCTGACTCAAGCACAGATAAAGGATACAAAGATAAATGCAGGGTTTTGCGTTGAGAAGTGATTTTTTTTTTCCTTTTAGGTCATACCCAGCGATGCTTAGGGCTTATTCCTGGCAGTGCTCAGGGGACCATCTGGGATACCGGGGATCAAACATCGATAGGCTGTGTGCAGGGCAAACGCCCTCCCCACTGTACTATCACCAGTCCCTCAGTAGGAAGGTTTGATGGCCAACTATTGCCCTTGTGCACTGATTTTTCTGCTGTTGCAGGGCATTGATGACATCACTGGCGAACCCTTGATCCAGCAGGAGGACGATAAACCTGAAGCTGTGGCTGCTCGGCTCAGACAGTACAAGGACGTGGCGAAGCCGGTCATGGAACTGTACAAGTGAGTGGGGAGAGATGGGGCTGAGGTAGGGGCATCTTGCCTTTGCTGCAGGGGGAAGGGACCCACACCTGATATAGCTGGGAGCTAGTTCTGGGGGTGCCCTGGGGACTACATGGTGCCCGGGATCCAACCAGGGATTCCATAGGGAATGCGTGTGTGTGTGTGTGTGTGTGTGTGTGTGTGTGTGTATTTGTTGGACTATACCCAGTGGTGCTTAGGGCTGCTTCTCACAGCTGGCAGTTGAACCCATGCACTCAACTGAGCTATATCACCAATCTGAGACAGAGCATGTGTTTTAAGCTAGATGAGCTGAATGCCCAGTACCTCGTATTTCAGGAGACGGAAAGTCCTTTTGATTTTTGGGCCACGCTTGGTGATGTTTAGGAGTAACTCCTGGCTTTCTGCTCAGGAACCACTTCTGGTCGGGGCTGGAGTGATAGCACAGTGGGTAGAGTGTTTGTCTTGCATGCGGCCGACCCGGGTTTGATTCCCAGCATTCCATATGGTCCCCCGAGCTCTGCCAGGAGTAATACCTGAGTGCATGAGCCAGGAGTAACCGCTGTGCAATGCTGAGTGTGACCCAAGAAGCAAAAAACAAAAAAAAAAAAAGAGAGAGAGAGAGAGAAACCACTTCTGGTGGTAATCATGGATGTCAGGGATATGGGATGCCAGGGGTCAGACCTAGGTCGGCCACATGCAAGGCAAGTGACCTCTGACTATACTATTGCTTTGGCCCCCTGTCCCATATTTTCATGTTGAAACTCTGGAGAACTGGAATCTACCATCTCTACCTAGTGGTAAAATGACATCAGGACTCATTTTTATTTTTCTTTCTGAGAGATTGAAATCATGGTTTGCATTTGGATACCCCACGGGGATACCTGCTTTGGGTAGAAGATTGGAAAGATTGTGGTCTCCATGTGTCTGGAAGGGATTTAGTGGAAAGAATGTCATGACTCGAAATTACAGATCACAGAATCAAATGACTCCAGGGGTCAGCCCAGGAGGGGTACTGGGTGTTGGAGTTTGGGCAGGGGTGGTGGTGGGGGTGGCTAGTCATCACATAGGGAAGGGGTCTCTGATGGGGCACTTGGACCCATCATAGGAGAAAAGCAAAGATTTCCTTTTTGTGTTTTTGTTTTTAGTTTTGAGGGCTTTTTTGTTTGTTTGTTTGTTTGTTTGTTTTCTCTCTTTGGGTCACACTTGGCCATGCTCAGGGGTTACTCCTGACTCTGCGCTCAGGAATTACTCCTGGTGCTTGGGGGACCATATGGGACGCTGGAAATCAAACCTGGTTCGGCCATGTGCAAGGCAAATGCCCTAACCACTGTGCTATTGCTCCAGCCCTGAGATTTCCTTTTTTTTTTTTTTTTTCTTTTTAAATATTGGCAACATCAAAACTGCACAGGGAAATGTGTTCCGGATCGTGGAGTTCAGCTTCTAGTATAACCAGCTTCAGAGTTTCGAGTGACCCAACAAGCACAGTTTCCTCATCCAACTCTGATATCTGCAGAGTTTCCTGATCTGTTATTTCAAAAAGTATTTTAGGGCACCAAGGTGGACCAATGATTTGCTTTTCCAAAGTGTAGAGGGGATTTTGTTGTAAAGGAGAGAAGAAAGAGGGGAAGATCGCAGAAACTTTTATGAGGGTGCTAATGCACTTAAATGAGACCGGGAGATCCTCACTTGCAATAACCCATAGCTTGTCTGTCCTGAAATTTAATGCAAAGGAAACCTGAAATGCCTCGGTCGGGCGCCTTTTGTTTTTCAGGAGTCGAGGAGTGCTGCATCAGTTTTCTGGGACGGAGACGAACAAAATCTGGCCCTACGTCTACACGCTTTTCTCCAACAAGCTCACACCCATCCAATCCAAAGAAGCAAACTGAGCCGGCAACGGGGAGCCGGGAAGGTGCATCTGCTCCATCTGCCGCCGTCGTCTGGGTGCTGGTCCCGAGGACACCCCAGCTAGGATCGCTTGTGGCGTCTTGTCTAGTTGAAAAAGTGAACGAACCGAAAACACGAATGGGAAGAGGTGATGGAAGAAACTCTTCTTTGTCCTTCGGAAGACTCGGCTGCACGGGTCTTTGGGCACCTGTAGCAGCCGTACTGGACAGTGGCACACTCAACGTCTGTCGCTGGCTGCGGCTGACCCTGTCCTTCCCGCTCAAGACGATGGTGATTACTGGTCCCTCCGGTTCCCCAAAGTTGGCTTGAATGCAGCCCCCCCCAAGACCTTGTCCCAGTTTCCCTGGTCTGTGCCTTCCCAGCCACAATGAACTTCTCTGGCCTGGAGTGGCCCGAGTCCACGATTCTTGTTTTCCTCTTAAGAGTGTCACCTACTTTTCTGTATTCCTGCTCAATAGAATTGCTCTGTGGGTGTTGTTCTCTTGATTCAATAATATCTATTTGCCTCTGGTTTTTCCCCACTGGCTGAAGGTCACATCAGCCATCAAGTCCTGAGTTCTGGGAGGGTCACCTCTCACCAGGCCCCGAGTCCTGGGGGAGGGTCTCTTTTCCTGGACGATGAGACACCCCTCCATACCTCTCTCTCCACAGACTCGACAACCTTCTTTCATTGTGGAAAAATAAAACATCCCAAATCTTCCAGCAATCCTCGAAGTAGAAATATTTGTAAATGTTTTTTTTACAAATATTTGTAAATTTGTAAGAGTGGAGCTTACGTAGAGACGGGGTCAGGTCATATGGAATTACGGGATCAGAGTAGTTTAGAGTTTTACTCAAGGCAGAAAAAAACGTACGTGGAAAAACGCTGCTAAATCATGTTGCCTGCAGGGTTTCTCCTATGAGCCAACATCTATGAGCCACCACGGATATTCTCAGGGGCAGGAACTACTCCTGTGACTTGTCCCAGTGTGACAGCTGTATAATTATAGGGAAACCTTTTTTCTGTTCCCAAGATGCTTTCTCTTGGGTGGTCAGTGAGTCTCGAGAGTTCCATCACACTGTTTGGTCATTGTGTAACCATGTCTGGTGCATACACCAGACTTGAGCGTGTGGCCCACTCTGCACACGGCCTTGGTGGCCACCTGTGGGAAGGACGATGGCATTTATTCCTGTTGCCTTAAAAACAAACAAACATTTATACTTCACACGTTGTGATTGTCCAGGGTGGATTGGGGTAGACGTGTTCCCTCCACTATTCCTGGAGTAACTTGTGTGTCACAAGTTACTTTTCTGTCCAGCAACCATAGACCAGACTTGCTCTGGCTCACCTTAAGATTGATGGGACCAGGGGCTGGAGCAATAGCACAATGGGTAGGGTGTTTGCCTTGCACGCGGCCGACCTGGGTTCTATTCCCAGCATCCCATGTGGTCCCCCAAGCACCACCAGGAGTGACTCCTGAGTACATGAGCCAGGAGTAACCCCTGAGCATCGCCGGGTGTGACCCTAAAAGCAAAAAAAAAAAACAGAGATTGATGGGACCGAAGTGTCTGATTTGGGTCAATGAGATGTCGATGTGTTAGCCTGAGTAATGAGAGCTTTCACACTGGCGGATTTCAGTGCCGTGGGGTGTGTGGGTACAGTGAGAACACATGTAGGCATTCCTCAGGTTTCCTTAGAAACCAGGTGTAGAATCACAGTCCTCTGACAGGAGGCCGCTTGTGCACAATTTAGATCTCACTGTCATGGTGAGAGCTTTTGTAAATTAGAGAGCAAGTTAAAATAATTAAGCATCATTCAAGAATCTGTGTGTTTTTTTTGGGGGGGAGAGGAAAAATCTGCAAGCCTCTGCCTTCATTTTTTTTCTTTAGCAGAAGTACTAGCATATTCATTTGCTGCTTTTGGATTTTGCGGGGGGCAATGGATAATGGGGACTGACCTGAACTTTGACTCAAGCATCATTTCTTCATCCTTCACCCTCTCCCCGGCACCAACCCCTCAGGTTGTTCCTCAGATGTCCTGTGGGCCCACGTGGAGGGCCACCTTTAACCCCAAACTACATATCTTTGTTGAGGTCTTCGAAGAGGATGGCTTCGGGGTCAGCCTACAAAATGAACTTTGGGTTTTTTACAATAACAGTCTACGATTTGTTAAAAAAAAAACCAACTGGACAGAATAAGTGAAATTAAAGAAGCTATTTTTTCCCTTGATCTTTTATTTTTCCTTCCAGGCCTCACAAGGTTGATTTTTTTTTTTTAATTTATTTTCTATTTTTATTTATTTTTTGCTTTTTGTGTCACACCTGGCGTTGCTCAGGGGTTACTCCTGACTCTGCATTCAGAAATTACTCCTGGCATTGCTCAGGGAACCATATGGGATGCTGGGGATCGAACCCAGGTCGGCCTCGTGCAAAGCAAACGCCCTCCCCGCTGTGCTATCGCTCCAGCCCCCTACTTTTTATTTTTAATTAGTCATAAAAAAGAACTATGGTAAGAGGGAAGAATAGATTAGAGGAATAGAGGTTCTTGCATCCCTCCAACCTTGGTTTAAATCTCCCGGCACCCACATATGGTCCCTAAGCACCTCCAGTGGTCACTCCTGAGTACAGAACCAGGAATAGTCCCTGGACACCACTGGGGATGGCCCCAATTCCCTGCCCCCACCCAAATCGAGGGCAGTTGGATGATCTAAAGTCTGTGACTTTTGCCTACTCTGAACTCCTTTTGCCTTTCATGGTTTCCTAACGGGTACCCTGCTTAGATCTAAAACAAGTGTTGCATCTAATACTCTTAAGCTAAGGCCATGACAACATGGATATTATTTGTTGGGTGTCTAGTCAGTGGTCTGGCAGTTCTCGAACATATGCAAATATCTCATTTAATGCTTCTAGCATCAGATTGTGTAATCCTGTGTGTATGAAAAAGGTTCAGAGACATGAAGCATCTTACCCAGGCTGGTGGTGCCAACACACAGGCACACAGATTTATATACACAGAGAGAGACACAGACATACACAGTCATGCACGTATATATATGATGTAGCTAGAACTCTCCTCACACCCAGGTTTTCCTGATTCTGTCACCTGAGTTTACCTCGATGTAAGCTTTCTGTCCTGCCCCAGCAGATCCCGGACTGCTTGGTTTTGTCTCGATTTCTGAGTGAACTTCGTGAGACTTCCCTTTCTGCCCTTGGCTGGAGCAGAAGAAGCTGCTGACAGAGAATGTGAATTTGACCCTCCCTCACACGAAAGTGAAAGATGGATAAAATGAAAGATGGGGCCAAAGTGATAGTATAGCGGGTAGGGCAATTGCCTTGAATGCAGCTGATCTGGCTTAGACCCAGATACCCCATAGAGTCCCCTGAACCCCACTGGGAGTGACTCTGAGCACAGAGTAAGCACCCATGAATGAGAGAGACACACACACACACACACCCCTCCAAACAAAAAGACACCAGAGGCTGGAGCAGGCTCATGGAGGAGGACATCCTGCCTTTCCTTTCTAGAATTGGGGGTGACGTGCGCCCAAAGGCATCTTGACCCCAGAGTCCCAACTCTATCCTCGGGGGCTCATGTAGGCCCACATCCCAGGAAGCTCATCATTTTCTTCCCTTAATTCAGAACAAATCATGCTCCCTCCCTCCCATTCCCAGACACAGCCCCCAATATGGAAGAATAACCCCTGCCCTTTGCCCCTTTCCTCTTGTAATGATCCCAAATTCACACCCCCATCCCCCTTCTGCTGGGGCGTGTCTTATCTGGCAGCACTCTCAAGTGACTGTTGGGGCTTTCACCCAGAGTCCAATGGGTAAGATGCGATTCCTGGCATCCCATATGGTTCCCTGAGCACCACCGGGAGTGATTCCTGATACAGAGCCAGGAGTAAGCCCTGAGCATTGGAAGCTGAGTATCCCGTGCCCCTCCCCCCAATACAAACAAATCAAATGGCTGTGCTCTCTGGTAGGGAAGATACAAAGGTGAGGCTTGGCCCCAGGAGAGGTGCTGTGGCTTCTGGTCCTGAGGTCTGAGGCCCCGTGACCCTGTCATCCACTTTTGGAAGCAGCCTATGCAAATTCACTTGTTGAAACTGGAGAATTTGGTTCACTGAAACTGAAGTTCAATATTTGACTTGGAAATGTTTGGCCATATTTTTTTCCATTGAGTTGTGGTGGGAATATTTCGCTCAAATCATATAATAAACTTGCAACTTTTCAACATGCTAAGATAGAGACTTTTTCTTATTTTTTTTTTCATTTTGGGTCACACCCAGCAATGCTCAGATGTTACTCCTGGCTCATGCACTCAGGAATGACTCCTGGCGGTGCTCGGGAGATCATATGGGATGCTGGGAATCGAACCTGGGTTGGTCATGTTGGCTGCGTGCAAGGCAAACGCCCTACCCGCTGTGCTATTGCTCCAGCCCCCAATTGAGACTTTCTTAATATTCATTGACTTAGGGGCCAGGGATGTAGCTTAGCGGTGAAATGTTTGCCACTAAAGTTGGGGGCCCTGGGTTCAAGTCCCATTTTTGCACCCCACCCACCCAATCTTATTATTCTCTGTTGGTATTTCCTGCTAAGCAGGGTAAATGGCTAATTCATCATGCCTCAACACTTAACACTGCGTCGTTGGTGTTAGTAAAACCCTTTGCCTCCTATTTAAAAATGGGAATAGTTCTGTCTCCTTAAATTTTTTGTGGATCTGTAGGGATGAATGAGGACATTCACATATGCCTTTGGTGTACCCTGCAGAGCCCCTTCCTCGCTGAGGTGAACCGCTGTTCTAACTCCTGCCCTTAAGTTTGGCTTTGGGTTTTCTGGTGTGGAGGCAGGAGTCGGGCACTTAGGGCTGGTGGTAGTTGGCACAATGTGTAGACAGAGTCATGTGTCTCCTCAGGGCTACATGATCCCGGGATCCTTTCTGCACTCCTGATGGCTTTAGTGACCTTTTCCTTGCTCTAAGTAGGCGAGGCCGGAGACAGGACATCAGAAAGCAGAATGGTGTTCATGGGGTGAATTGCTTTCTTCTCTTCCCCTCCAGTTTTGCTGTCTCCCCTGTCCCCCTGGCATCTTAAAAGAAAAAACTCAGGAGCTCAAAGTTCTTTTGATAGGGAATTGTGGTCTGGTGTTAAGTGATCCTTAGAACTCTGCCTGGCTGGCTTCCAGATGACAAGTGGATAAGACCCCAGATGTCGGGAACCTTGAAAGTTGGGTTTCAGCTGTGAAGAAAAATGTTTCCTGCAGGCATGGAGATGGAATTACAATTGTTCACAAAGGCCATACCTTGGAACCAATTGCACAGTTCTTGCCAAAATAAATGCCATTATCTGCATACTTCAGGGAATTCCATGTGTGTGTGGGGGGGGGGGGAGACTGATTCTGAAACTCTGATATGCCTGTTTTTCAGCCACTGTTAGGCTGTTCGTGAACATACATCCCTTCTTGAAAGTTGGCTATTTATAACTCCAGAGGGTAGATACTTTAGAGATTCTCCCTGGGT